TCCGGGCTCTGAGCCTGATGCGCGGCTCGAACTCACGGACCATGAGATCATGACCTGAGCCGAGGTCGGTCACTCAACCGACTGAGCCACCCAGGTGCCTCTTGAAGTTGTTTTCTCATTCCGTTGTTTGTTGTAGTAAATACACATACCACAAAACTGATCATTTGCACCTATTTTTTTTTTAATGTTTATTTATTTTTGAAAGAGAGAGTGTGAGCGGGGACGAGCAGAGAGAGAGAGAGAGGGAGACACAGAATCCAAAGCAGGCTCCAGGTTCTGAGCTGTCCGCACAGAGCCCGACGCGGGGCTCGAACTCACGAACCATGAGATCATGGCCTGAGCTGAAGTCGGACACCTAACCGACTGAGCCACCCAGGCGCCCCTGAGGGTGCTCCCTTAAAGTGTACAGAAAAGGTGTCTCCCGGGGAGAATGTGCTCAGGGGAGCAAACCCCTGTGAACGTGTGTTCACGAAGTGCACTGCTGGGTGGTGCCCGACCCCCGCAAGGCCCGGGAGGCGCGGTGACCCTCTCTCCCCCACACTGGGCTGCTGGACGGGCTGCTGGATGGGCCCACGGCAGGCGACGTCCCTCCGGCTCACCCGGCCTGGCTTTCTGGCCACTGTTTGTGCCCCTTTCCCTCCTGGACTCACTCCGGGTTTTTGCATTGTTTTGTCTTTTGCTTTCAGATCTTCCTGAGCTACACGGACGTGGGCTCCAGCTTCGTGTTTGGGGAGGCCATGGTCAAGGGAGTCTTTGCCTTTCAGGTCAGCCCAACTCCTGGCCCGCGAGGGCCTTAGCAGCGGCTGCCCAGTACCTGTGGCCGGGGCACGTCTGGGCAAGCTGCGTGGGCCAGGTCCGGGTCGGGGGAGGGCCGTGCGCTTGAGGTCCACGAAGCTCCGGGCTCGGGGTGCCGAGAGGGGCCCCGACACCGTTCACCCGCCGGCGTGTCGTCAGTGTGCTTTGTAACGTCTGCCAAGTAAGAGGTATCTGTATTCTTTTCCTTAAAAACGAATCCCCAAGTGATAGAATTGCCGTGAGACAAGAAGAGAGGGCAGGGGCACGGGGACCCTCTCAGGCTGCTTCTACATCGAGGCCCTCGAGGGTCACCTCTGCAGGAGGCCGGCCCTTGTCGCCCAGCTGTACACTGTGACTCCCTTCTCTGGACTTTTCTGGACCTACAGCCCCTCCCTCCCTCCCCCTTTCCTTCCTTCCGTCCTCAGACGGTTTATTGCATCCCTGCTGCAGAGGAAACCGACCTAGAGACTCAAAGGCCTTACTGTGTACAGTAGAGCCCCAACCCTGAGTTTAGACGGTGCAGCCCGTGCCGGGTCTGCCGTGGTGTGGCCACGTCACCATTCTGAGTTTGGAAATGCGGACCCACGCGCTTCCTTCGGGGGCTCCCCTCTGCTGGCCTCACGCCCAAGCTGTCAAAAGACCCTCTCTGGGCTTCAGCTCCACTTCCAGTGCTAGGCGGAGGGGGGTGATTTCCTGCCACCGTTGCCACGGCACTGCCACGGGAATCCATGTTGCCTCCTCCAGGGCGCCTTCCCTGCCAGGCCCCGCCCCGCCCCGCTCCCCACCCCCCCGCCCTGTCCCCCAGGGCTGCTGTGCAGGGGCCCATGTGTAGCTCCTGGAGGTTTCTGCCTTTCATGCCTCTGACCATTGTTTCCAGAGCATTCCCACCCTGTGGGGGCTGTTGGGGCCCCCGGAGGCTTCCAGCCTGAGCCACGGGCTCGGCGATGCACTTCTGGGCTGACGTTGGGCCAGGCTGCGAGTCTAGTCGTCTCCAGCCCCTCTGTCCCCACCACCAGCTTGTGGTGAGGGTCCGCACAGTGTCCGTTGGTGTCAGCAACCCTCGGGGAAGCGTCCACTTTATCCAAGTGGTTCAAATAATGTCAGTTATGGGAGGAAGGAGCGAGGGGACCGGGTTCCTGTCCTCTTGGGAGTCTTGTGTGTCCTGGGACGAACTTGTCCATCACATTGCGCTGAGAGCAGTTTTACTGGGGGACGGGGGGGGCCCTCCAGGGGCCCCCGACACCATCCTGTAGGGCTGGGGAGGGCTGCTCCCTCCCAGTCCTATTTCCAAGTAGGGGCCTCCCAGGTTTCAGGCAGGAGTCGTGAAGACTGGCTCCGGCATGACGTCTTACGTTCACCAGATAGACAGCAGCCAGCATCTTGTCACCCTGCAGGGACAAGCATACGACACTCTGCAGTCCGACCTCCCCAGGCGGCCAGGTTCAAGTGCAGTTGGCACAAACAAAAGCGTCCATTTGCGGGGGGGGGGTTGTTTAAACTAGGGACAGTGAGGAGGACTCCCCCGGGGAGGTGGTGTTTGATGTGGAACCACGGGACACGCAGGACGGGAGTTTTGGACGCGCAGATAGGCAAGAAGAAGGAGCCCCTGGGATGAGCACCAAGGGGAGAAAGTGCGGGCGTGTCATCTACAGGGCGAAGCTCCCTTTGCCGGCAGGGGGCACAGGTGGGGGCACGAACGGCTAGCATGGTGGGGCTGAAGCTTGAAGGGCCCTAAATGCCAGGAGGAGGCACCTGGGTTTGGTCCCCAGGAAACAGAGCTATCAAAGAGTTTTGAGCAGGCAGGGATTTTTTGGAGATTTGGGATGGTCGTCATGCCAATAGTGGGCAGGAAGAGGGGCGCCTGGGGGGCTCAGTGGGCTGAGCGTCCGACTTCGGCTCCGGTCACCATCTCGCAGTTCGTGGGTTCGAGCCCCGCGTCGGGCTCTGTGCTGACAGCTCAGAACCTGGAGCTGCTTTGGATTCTGTGTCTCCCTCTCTCTCAGCCGCTTCCCTGCTCACGCTCTCTCTGTCTCTATGTCAAGTAAATAAACATTTTAAAGAAAATAGTGGGTAGGAAGGGTTGTAGCCAGGAGGCTTGGAATAGAGGACCTGAGGAGGCTGCCTCATACCCACATGATGACCCGGGGCCACCAGGCTGTCACAGGGCAGGAGAGAGGTCACCATGGGGAACGGAGGCTGAGGGGACCTGCAGGAGGAGAGGCCTGGGTCTTACTCATCCTGTGTCCCTGAACTGACCCTGAGCCCTACAGAGCCCCGCCCAGTGCCCGGACACCGCTCTCCGAAGTCCCTCTGTGCCTGCTGGGAAGTCCAGGCCCCTGTCCCCGGCTGGGCCACCGTTCCCATGACCGTGGTCCTGAGCAGCTTTCCCGGTGGCCCGAGACCACAGCTGAACTCCTTTTTCTCCAAACCTCCCCGGCAGGGCTCGGACCTTCCCAACCAGAGGGAAGCCAAGAGCTACACACAAGCTTTGCAGCAAGCCCCAGGGCCACCAGAAACCATTTTGTTGCCCTCTAGACCCAAGGTCTCGGGGGAACAGAGAAGAAAAACGCAGGGAGAAGGAAATCATAATAATGGCCACTAGGTACGCAGCCAGCACGTGTACCTGGCTCTCGCTTCACCCTCACGACCACCCGTGGCGGAAGTGCTATCATTACCCCCTTTTCACAGATGGGGACACTGAGGTTCGGAGCGGTCGTTGCTTGCGAAGTGTCAAAGCTAGGGAGGGCTGGGATCAAGACCGGAACCCAGGACCGAAGCTCTTGCTTATTGGCTTCTGTGCCTTGATATCAGAGCACTTGCCTTAGTAGGCAGTGGTGACAAAGGGGCCTTGGATGTTTGTTTGCCCCCTGGCTTAGAGGAAAAGAGTATTCTTTGGGACTCTTTGGTTGCAAGTAACAGAAACCCATTTAAAACTTGCTTTAAAGGGGGGGGGGTGGTGACTGGTGGCTCAGTTGGTTGAGTGTCTATTTTTTTTTAAGTTTATTTATTTTAAGAGAGGGAGAGGGAGAGTGCAAGCAAGGGAAGGGCAGAGAGAGGGGGAGAATCCCAAGCAGACTCCATGCTGTCAGCGCAGAGCCCGATGTGGGGCTTGATGTGGGATCATGACCTGAACCAAAATCAAGAGTCGGATGCTTAGCCAACTGAGCCACCCAGACACCCTCTTAGTCAGTGTCTGACTCTTGATCTCGGCTCAGGTCATGATCTCACTGGTATGTGAGTTCTAGCCTCCTCCTCTGCCCCCCATCAGGTTCTGCGCTGACAGGAGTCTGCTTGGGATTCTCTCTCTCTCTCTCTCTCTCTCTCTCTCTCTCTCTCTCTCTCTCTCTCTCTCTCCCTCCCTCTCTCCCTCCCTCCCTCTCTCTCTCTGTGTCCCTCCCTCGTGTGTGCATGTATTCTCTCTCTCTCTCAAAATAAACTTGAAAAAAATATTGCTTTAAAGGGAGGAGAGAGGGAAGCTGTTTCTTGGCTTACACACTAGAAGGCAAGGTTGAGCTGGTGCAAGCTGGACCCCGGGCCCCAGAGACGCCAGGGCGTCAGCTTCACTCTTGAGCACCCCATCTTCCCCTGGCCCCCAGCAGTAACAGATGCTCAGGCTTACAGCATGGTTCCCCCGCCCCCAAGTGAAGGGAACTCTTCTCTGCCAGCCTGAGTTAGAAAATCCCGGAGCGGTCTTCAGATTGGTCAGCCTCAGTCATGTGACCATCCTGGGACCAATCACCGAGGCCGGGCCGTGGGAGCCTGCCATTGGAACGCCGGGGGTCTTGCGTTCCCACCCACAGCCAGGGGGTCAGGTGGCCTGATTGAGTGCGAGCCACCCTCAGAAGGCCATCGTTCCAAGAGGCATTGCCCAGGAGAGTGGTTCTGCTAACCTCCATTATAGCAAACAAGGCAGGCAGCTCCCTGTGATTAGCTACATTTTCAGGGGGCTGTCTTTTTCCAAGCGAGCGTTTGTGGTCTGGTAGAGGAGCAGGGCCCAGGTGACAGCTGGCATACCTCCCCGGGAGAAAAAGTGATGGCACAGATCCTTCCATCGACGGTCCCTCCCAGCCATAACTGGGGCCGCATTTGGGAGTCTCGGCTGTACTTCCTGACCTGGGTGCTTAGCTCCTGACTTAGTCAGCGGTAAGTGACAGAAACACAACTCAAATTTGTCTTAAGCCAACACGGAAATGAAACAGAACCTGCAGAAATCAAGATTAATTTCTGTAACTGAAAAGTCCAGGGTACCGAACATCAGCTGGGATCCACCTGGCCTGTGTCCTGGCTCTGTGTTCTGGGTACTGGTGTTAGTCTTAGTCGTGGGTAGGCTCCCTCGAGGGGGTGGCTTACATCCAACCAACCTGAGGAGAGAGAGAGAGAGAGAGAGAGAGAGAGAGAGAGACAGCCCGATTTCCACTAGCTCTAGCAGGAAGCCCGCGAGGGGGCCCTTCTTGGCCTGGCTTGGAGTAGATGCCATCTCTGAAGTGTAACCAGGGAGAATAATTGGCTTTGATCTGCCAAACCTGAAGCCCGTCGGGGGAGAGTGGAGGAGGGGGTGGTTTCCCAAAGGGATGCTGAATCTTTGTCACCAGGAGTGGAGGAAGGGGCACGAGGCAGACCCGACAGCCACTGCCCGCCGGCGTCCCCGCCCTGCCTGTCCCGCAGACTAGCGCCGAAACGGTCACCTTGCTTGCTGCTCTGCCCATCTTCCCGCCAGAGTCGGCTGTGTGTCCTCCACCTTCTCTCCCTTTCCAGAGGAATGTGGGCGCACCTGCTGCCCGTCTCTCTCCCCACATCACCCTTTACAACCACGCTTCCATAGACTGTCGGGCTGGAAGGGAGCTGACTGATCTTTGGGTCCCTACGGATGGTCAGGCCACACCCCAGAGAGGAGCAGTGACATGGGCACAGTCACCCGGTGAGTAAGGGCAGAGCCGGGGCTGGAACAGGTTGACCGGACACTGGCGTTTTCGGCCTCATCCTGTAAGTTGAAGTCAGTGACATCCCGTCTCCCTTCCAAATACAGAAAGGAGCCCTAATAACGATAATGTTAAATTTAAAACATATTAAGTGGCTGCTAAAGACTTTGAGTTTGGATATCCCGTCAAGAAAGAAAAAACAAGAGAGGTGGGTTTATCAATAGGCAGCCCCAGCATTTCCCAGTCACACGCTAACCGTCGTTGGGACCCTGGGAGGCCCTGTCCTCGGGCCAACCTCAGCGTCAGTGCATTAGGCAGTGGCTTCCTTGGCGAAGACAGACCAGATCAGGGAGGACTTACACGCTCCATGGCCATGGAACTGCCCTCTTCACAAGATTCATTAGTCACAAAATTTACTTAGCTTCCCCACTCCCTCCCTGCATCATGCGCACGCGCATGCACACACACACACGCGCATGCTTACACACATGCATGCTCACATTCACACATGCACACCCACATGCACACACATGTCTAGATGCACGTATGCACACACGTGCATGCTCACATACATGCACACGCATGCACACTTACACGCACACACATACACACATGCACACAAATGTTCATGTACTCACACTCCCAAGCACACATGTGCTCACAATACACAGTCACATGCACACACACATGCCCACAAACGCTCATGCACACATGCACACTTATGCACACACACGCACACATGCTCACACATGCACACACGCTCACTCACATGTACTCACACGTGCACACACATGCACACACGTGCACACAGCCCACTCACACACCAGCTCGTGCACACACTCACACTCGCACACTCATGTGCACACACATGCACACTCATATGTACACACACACACACATAAGCACAGCACTTCCTAAGCTTAGGACGGGTCCTCGAGGTGGGGTGGATTTGCTGGTGCTAAGTCGAGCGGAAGACGCAGGAGCCTTCCTCACCTTCTTTCCCTGGATCATGTGGACCTAGTCCAAGGCCTTTGGTTCATGCTGGCCCCAGGGAAGTCTTCTCTGAGCTCACTCAGATTTTCAGAGTCCAAGCTGCTTCCTGCTGGGCCACGGTCCAGCCCGTCCCTTGTCCAGGAAGTCGAGCCTCTGCCTGGGGCTTCTTGGCCGCCCCCCTCCCCTGGCCTGGAGTCCAGCGCCATGGACTGGACGCGGCAGCCACCTCTTGGCTGCATCGTCTTGATAAGTCATTCTGCCTTGGCTCCGCCATCCTTCTGGTAACATCCCACCCACACAGCCGCCTCCCCCGAGGCTCCTGCATCCTTTCTGGGTCTGGCTGACCCAGTAGCTTGTGTTTACTTGTTCCTTCACCACTGTTCCGGCCTCTGGAACGGGCACCCACATACTGCGCCCAGGAGTGCTGCTCACATGTTCTCCCTGAGGAACATCTGGGTGAAAGACAATGCTCCCATCTCCCAAGGTTTTGGGGTGTCTGCCTGACGCAGCCTCGGCCATCTGCAATGGTCAACAATGCCAAGTTTGGCCCCCAAAAATCAAATAAGAAAAGGACGGGGGCGCCTGGGTGGCTCAGTCAGTTAAGCATCCGACTGTGGCTCAGGTCATGATCCCTTGGTTCGTGGGTTCGAGCCCCACGTTGGGCTCTGTGCTAACAGCTCAGAGCCTGGGGCCTGCTTTGAATTCTGTGTCTCCCTCTCTCTCTGCATATCCCCCGCTCATGCCCTGTCTCTCTCAAAAATAAATAAACGTTAAAAAAAAAAAAAGACAAGGAGGGAGAGGTGCCATTGGAGTTAGTAATTAAGGGGTCACTCGTGAGCTCAGTGATTATGATCAGCAGGAAAGGGAGTGGGAAATATGTGAGTAGGTGAAAGCTGGGGCGGGGTGCTGGAAGGAGGGAGAAGGAAAGAGATGGGACGAGGGGACCAGGAGAGATCTTAGGAGAATCCGGTATCTGCAAAGGTCTCTGAATGACACTTTGACAGCCAGTTGGCCATGACCACGAGGGGCAGAGTGGTGAGGGCCTCTGGGCAAGGGACCAAGGGAGTAGGAAATCAGGAGGCATGTCCGCTTTACGTGGCCTTGGAGAAAGTCCCCTCTGCCTTTCTGTAACGGTGGTGGCATGGGCATCTGTACCATACTGTTTGGATTACTCCGGTTTGCAGTATAGTTTGAAATAAGGGAGCCTGTGATCTCCAGCTTTGTTCTTTCTCAGGACTGCTTTGGCTATTCGGGGTCTTTTGTGGTTCTACACAAGTTTTAGGATGATTTGTTCTAGTTCTGTGAAAAATGCCACTGGTATTTTGGTGGAGACTGCATCGGGTTTGTAGATTGCTTTGGGTAGCATGGACATTTTAAGAGTATCAATTCTTCCAGGCCATGTGCATGGACTATCTTTCCATTTGTTTGTGTCATCTTTAGTTTCTTTCACCAGCGTCTTATAATTTTCATCGTACAGGTGACCTCCTTGGTTAAGTTTGTTCCTAGGTATTTTATTCTTTTTGATGTAGTTGTAAATGGGATTTTTAAAAATTCCCCTTGCTGATAGCTCATTATTAGTATACAGAAACACAACTGATTTGTGTATGTTAATTTTGTATCTTGCAACTTTACTGATTCATTTGTCACTTCTAATGATTGTCTGGTGGAGCCTGTAGGGTTTTTCTATATGTAGTATCATGTCATCTGCAAATAGGGACAGTTTTACTTCTTCCTTTCCAATTTGGATAACTTTGATTTCTTTTTTTCTTGACTCATTGCTCTGGCTAAGACTTCCAATACTATGTTGAATAGAAGTGGTAAGAGAGGACATCCTTATCCTGCTCCTGGTCTTAGAGGAAAAGCTTTCAGCCTTTCACCATTGAGGATGAGGTCAACTGTGGGTTTGTCATATGTGGCCTTTATTATGTTGAGGTACATTCCTTCTACATCCACTTGGCTGAGAGCTTTGTCATGAATGGATGTTGGATTTTGTCAAATGCTTTTCCTGCACCCACTGAGATGATCGGGGAATTTTTATCCTTGGTCTTGTTAATGTGGCGTATTATCATGTTGATGGACTTGTGGATGCTAAACCATCCTTCCTTCTCTAGAACAAATCCCAAATGATGATGGTGTATGATCCTTCTAAAATGTTTATTCTTTTTTATTGTTTTAATGGTTTTATTCATTTCCTGAGAGAGAGAGAGAGAGAGACAGAGCCTGAGCTGGGGGAGGAGCAGAGAGAGGGAGACACAGAATCCAGGCTCTGAGCTGTCAGCCCAACAAGGGACTCAAACCCACGAGCCGTGAGATCATGACCTGAGCCAAAGTCAGACGCTTAACTGACTGAGCCATTTATTCTTGAGAGGTGGGGTCCGGGGGGCGTGCAGAGGAGAGGACAGAGGATCTGAAGCGGGCTCTGTGCTGACAGCAGCGAGCCCGATGTGGGGTTCTAACTCATGAATCACAAGATCATGACCTGAGCTGAAGTCACTCAACCGACTGAGCCACCCAGGCGCCCTGATGGTATGTGATCCTTTTAATGCATTGTTGACCGACTTTAGATTTTGTGGTTCGGGATTTTTGTGGGGTTTCGTGGGGTTGGCGACAGGACCCTGTCTGCAGTGCTTAGGCCTTTGGAGCTTGGACTGTGAGGGTTCATTATCAGGAAGTCATCGAAAGCCTGGCTCAGCTTCCTCCAGGAAGAGGAAGCATCAGGGCCGTGTCCTCAGTGGGTCTGGTCCTGCCTCCGAACCCCGTTTCCTGATAACAAGTTGACATTTGCTCCGAGCGTTATGGTCTAAACTCTAGACCAGTGGTTCTCAGAGTGGCACCTGCATCACCAACAGCTTCTGGAAACGCTCAGGCCCAAATTCTCAGGCCCACCCCCAACCTGCTGAAACTGAAACTCCAGATGTGGGGCTCGAAATTTGCATCTCTCGCCAATTCGCAGGTGATGCTACTGGTCCAGGGACCGCACTTTGAGAACCACTGGCCTCGGCAAACTGGAGGCCCCTTCTTCCTTCGGTTATGGGTGAGCGGTCACACTAGAGGGACCAGCCGGCTCTGGGTTCCACCGTGTGGCGGTGAGGACGTGTGTATGGCTGCTACACCCTCGCTCCCGGAGATGAATGCCTCTCCTGAGACAGAGAAGTGGGGCTTCCAGAATAGGCAACAGGGCAGACGTCCACAGGCTCATGGCAGGGCCTTGGCAACCTGCTCAGCGGCCGGGCAGCGCTGTTTTTGCAGGCGTGTGACCTTGGGCGGGCTGCCAACATCTCACGGTCTCGGTGTCCCCTTTGGTGAAGCGGATTTACAAGTACCTCAGTTGGTTTGAGGATCGACGAATCACCACGCGCTGGGCACTGCACCTGCCGCAGAGTAGGACCGCGTGTGGACATGTAGTAGGACCCGATGACACTCCCCCCCCCCCCCCCGCCTCCACCCGACCGCGGCATCGCCGTCTTCAGCTGCCCATCCTGCCTTCCCCCTCCTCGCAGGCTACAGGCCCCACAGTCATCTCCCAGGCTGGGAGATCGGATGGGTCCCGGGGACCTTATTTAGGACAAAATGCGCCACCTTAGAAAATTGGGAGGCCACCTCTCTTCTCTCCTATTTTATCTTCCCTCCCCGGAGAGCCGCCGCCTCATGCAAAACCCAGCTTCCCTTCCACCAAAGACCCGCATCTCACGGGTAGGCAATGTCTCTTGGTGGCTGCCCGGAGAAAGTCCCAATTCTGCAGTCAGGTCCTTCCTGGTTTGAGCCACGGCCGCCGCCCTGCCAGGCTGCCGAGCAGTCCCTCATGATAAATTGGACAAGCAGTCTAGACAGTACGTGACTGTCTCTGTGTCTCCCCGTGAGGGAGGGCGGATGACGTCAGCAGCCTCGTGTTGGGGGTGTGCCCGGCACCGGGCAGTCAGCACGAGTCACGGGACAGGAGGACCTCCAGAGCCTGCGTTCCCTGTCAGGTGACAGCCCCCACCGCGGTGAGGCCCACGGAGGGGAGCTGGTCCACATCCAGCCGCAGCCTCCATCTGGGAAGGGAGGGGGGACACCTTGGGGCCTGTTCTCGTCTCTAGGGGGGCTGCCCGGGGTGGAGCCTCTGCCTTCTTCGGGGGCCATCCCGCACTCCTGATTCATTTTGAGCTAGAGCCTGAATGTGATCACACGAGACTTTCCGTATTAAAAACAAAAACAACTCTCCCTGCACCCTCACCTCTCCCGAGGGCACCTTTCCTTCCGGCACGGCTAAGCTTCTAGAAACAGCTGCCTGTACTCACTATCTCCACCGCGACCCCTGAATTGCTAGGTGCCAATGGTCCGTCGCGCGCGCCTCACCTTTCTGGAATTCTCTGACACGTCTGGCACGGCTGATCGACCACCCTTCTTGATCAGCCGTCCTCGGTTTCCAACACACGCCTCGCCTGGAGGTCCTCCAACCTCTCTGTTTCTTCTCGGTCCCCTCCCTGCGCCCCCTCTTACCCTTCCCCCCTCCCATGCTGACCCCAGGCCCTGTCTTCTGTCCTCACTGCTCTCCTCACTCAGGGACGTTTCCTCGGTGAATCGCATCTATCCCGTGGCCTCAACCTACACTTCCGTGCAGATGCATCCCAATCCATCCCTGGCCCAGACCTTCCCCCCTGAGCTCCTGACCCTTTTATCCAGCTGTCCCCCCCACCCCACCCCGTGGCTGCCCCACAGGCATCTCACACCCAGCAAGTCCCAAACCCCGCTGCTGAGCTGGCCCAGACCCCCCCCTCCGCCCAGGCTCCCCTCCTCGAGAACAGGCCACCTATCACAGAAAATTACAGGAGTAGAAGAGAAACGGGAAACACGGAAGGAAGAACCCAACTTTCCGCAGTCCCGGCACACAGAACAGCTTTTCGGGCACGCCGTCTCCCAGCCTTTCTACGCTTTCGATGTTCTAGCTTCCCCACCTAACATTTCGGCGTAGGGATGCGCCCACCATTACCAATTCTACGTAACTCATTGTTTTAATGCTTATTTATTTATTCTGAGAGAGAGTGCCAACAGGAGGGAGGCAGAGAGAGAGAGAGAGAGAGGGAGAGAGAGAGAATCCCAAGCAGGCCCCACGCTGTCAGCGCATAGCCAGATGTGGGGCTCGATCTCACGAACCACGAGATCACGACCCGAACCGAAATGAAGAGTCAGTCACTCAGCTGACTGAGCCACCCAGGCGCCCTTCTGCATAACCTATTTTAGAACCGTTTGGAACAGAGAACACATCCCAACAGCACAAAAGGGAGGCGGTAAAAAGTAAGTCTCCCTTCCACACCGACAGTCACCTAGTTCCCGCCCCAAGGCCACTGCCTCCCTTGCATACCCTTTTAGTGACACTCTGTGCCCACACGGGCCCACGCACAATGCCATCCCCACGCTCCCCTGCACACCGGATAGCACAGCACACACCTGGTCACGCCTTCCCTCTCCTCGCTCGGAAATCACTCCATAACTGCCCACGGAGAGCCCCTCAGTCTCGTTTCCAGACTTTCCGTGTGCTGCTTCGTGGTCATCCCGTGGTCCTGAAACCCGTCCTCCACCGAGAGACATCTGAGTGGTTGTAGGCCTCGCTGAGATAAATCAGGCCGCA